CTGATGAGGCTGGTAAGCAAGCGGACAGTGAAAGCTATTTGTGTTGGTCTGGATTTTTCCTTGCCCACTCCGAGAAAGCCTTTGTGTTTCCTTTCCCTCAAGTCAGCTCAGTGAACCCTTCTAGAACCCTGTCACTCTTATATCCTGAGGATGGAGAGAAGAAACCAGCACTTGAGAAAGAGGCGGCTATAGAAGCACAAAAAAATAAACAAGGGAGAGTGCCTTAAACTGGAGAACAAGAACAGAGGTAGATGTAGGAATTTACAACCCACATCTTTCAAAACGGTCAGGAAAAGGGGCCACAGGAGGGAGGAAATGCTTTTTGTGCCTGCAGACCTAGACAGGGCCCCAGGCGGGGCACCCACCATGATTTCTGTGTCCCTGGTGGCACAGAGCAGCGGGCCCAGCAGTGGGGCTGAGCAGGAGGCCTCCCTTTCACAAATACGACCCCTACTTTCACAAATACGACCTCTGCGTGTGATGCTCCAGGACCTTTTCTCTGTAGTGAGGTACCCACAAAAGGATGGATAGTTCCAACTTGATGAGATGACAACTTGGGGTTTAATTTCATTTGGTATAAAGAAAAATGTTCTGTGACAGACTGCTGACCCTTCCTGCATAAAATTCATAGAAATCATTAGAAAAATATTTTTAACAGCAAATGCATAAAAACAGAGTCATGATTGAAAAGAAAGGAAACTTGGGCCAGACCAGAAACTCATCAGAACCTCTTAAAGCAAGAACATCACGAAGATTAGTGGAAAGAGGAAAAGCTGCAGCTCTGGACAAGGGTCGGGGACTCTGCAATCCTCAGGGGTACACCAGGCCCTCGAGGGCTGGAATCCAAAAATCAAAAATAGAGCCAGAGCTCTGAGTGGCCAAGGTGAGGGCCGCCCTGCCTCCTCATTGGGAGGAGCACTGGCTAGGGTGCAAGCTCGCTTTCCACAAGCGGTGGGGACAGGGGCTCTGGGAGCAAGAGACACACCAGCCACGAGACCCCAAGCACTGACACACCACAGACCTTTGTCACACTCTCAAAATCCACCGTGCAGTGGCTGTCTCCTCCCGCTCCACCATCTGTCCCTGTACACTTGTAACAGAGCGTCCTGCAGAGATCCTTAACACTCATACACAACATTGCACTCAAATATTTGAAGACAGCCAGCACCATAGTGTAGAAAGAAAAGTTTAAAACTAAATAAACAAAGAATACTTTAGTGGAAGAAATAGATTAAAACATAGAAGGATTCCTTTAAAAATGCATAATAAATCTCTCTAAGGATTTAAGGAAATAATACGGGCAATAGCAAGAATAGACAGAACCAATCAAAACCAGAGGGCAGTAATAACCTTGGCTTTGATTTATAAAAAGATTATTTCCGATAGACATTTTAAGGAAAGGACAGTTGAAAATCTGGGGAGAAATTTCATCATTAAAGTAAAAGAAAAGCCATGAAACATTCTCGAGGACTGCATGGTTATCTAAAAAGGAAAAAGGAGTCAGAATGCCCTTAGGCCTCCTGAAAACAGCAGTGGACGAAGGAAGACCTTGGAGCAGTTATCATCCATCTCGAAAGGAAAATAACTTTGAACCTAAACTTCTATACACAGGCACAAACTACACATTAAAATAGAGGTCAGTACATAATAGCCTATGGAGCAACCTCCTGTTTGTACATATAAAATTGTTAGAATAGTCACATCCATTCATTCACCTACTGTCTGCAGCTGCTTTTGTGTCTCATCAGCAGAGCTGAATAGTTGCAACAGAAATCATATTGCCACAAGTCCAAAGTACTTACTATTTGGACCATTTTTTTAAAGCTTGTTCTTTACTGATATTTTAGAAAGCAAGAGATGGGGGTGGGGAGAAAGATGTAGCCAGGAGGGAAGGCAGTGGAAGGGACATAAAAAGAATTAAGATGTCATATGTACATGTACCAGCTCCTTCCAAAGCTTGTAATCATTATGTACTGCAAACATGTAATAATAAAAAAACTTATCTTATGATTTTCAAAAACCAAAACAATGCTGTGAAACCAAAAAAAGCTTGCTGACATCTATTTTAAAACAAGGGCATTTCCATATGCATATATGTAATATAAGTCCATATATTTACTATTTTAAAATTTACTATCCAGGGACCCAACTTGGAAGAGTCACTGAGAATTATAGGGAAGAGAGAGAGGAAGAAGGATCCAGAAGAAAGAAGTGAGATGCATAAGACAATAAGTTACAAACATGGTTGTAAAACTTATTGTTGCACTAAAATAAGTATAAAATATTTAAACATTGAATTAAAAAATTCACAGAGGCAAGTGAGATCGCAACTGAGAGCAACTAAAGGGGCAATAAAGTTCTTATCTTCTCAGGAAGAAAAATAAAAATAATTCAAGACAAAGCTTAAACTTACAAAAGGTAAAAATGGAAAATGAAATACTGCATAGCCCAATTAAAGGCAACTAGAAGGCATAATAAGAGAATACAAATTAAGATGAGGGAATAACTCACATTAGTGAATTCAAAAGATTTGGTAAAGGTGCATTATTTAGTTCAACATCATTTTTATTATGTGCATACATTGTGACTGGCATTATTAAAGGCAGTAGAGATGATAATTAATAGAGAAATGGAGATGAGTGAGGTTTACACTTCAGTAAGGAAACAGACCACATACAAATAGGTACATAATATGATCTCAAATAGGTGTCATTCTAAAAAGAAAAAAAGGCAGAATAAAGGATAGGGCCCAATCAGAACCTTTCTAGGTGGCAAACAAAACACCTCATCATTAATCACATCATTAATCACTGGGTGTCTCATAGAAAACTATGGCTCTCTTGCATTATACATGTTTTGTAAACTATTATCTTGTAAGAAAGTAAGAATTTTGATGTTCTTATTTCACACAAATCTAGAGCACAGTGAAGTAAGTAAAAAAAATCCTCTTTTATCTGTATTGCCACTATCATTCCCAGCCATTGTCAAGGATGTTTCAGTTTTAAGGACGAGTTCTTCAGAGGACAAAGCAAGAAAAGCTCTCTAAGAAATGTTAATAAAAAAGAGCGTCTTCCATATTTTTAAAAGTATGCAATTTTTTAAGCAGCTTGAAATACAAATGCCTTTAGTATTTCAGCAGACAGGGAAAATAATTCCCAGTACAAAAGCAATAAGAACTAATAATGTGATTTTGCAAAATGAACTAGAATTATTCTGGGAATACTACATTGTTAAAGATATTTCTGAGTCAGCAGTAATCTGCCCGCAGAGTAATCTCAGCACTCTTCCATCACTGGGACAAAATACCTGACACCAGATACTTAAAAGAGGAGTGGTTTGTTGTGGAGTGGGTGCAGTCCATGGTAGGCTAGTTCTAAAGCAGAAATGGCATAGTGGGAGGACTTGATGGAGCGAAGTTGCTCCCATCATGGCAGCCAGAAGCAGAAAGAGAAGAGAAGAAATGGAGATGAGAATTCACCCTTCAAAGTTGCACGCCCAGTGACTCGAACTTTCCAACTGGGCCAACCTCTGAATGTGAGACTTTTGAGAGACACTCTAGATCTAAACTATAACATAACTTAGTAACTTAATGAGAGTTTGTCTCAAAATAAAAAATGAAAAAGGACTGGGGTTGAAATCCAGTGTAAGGCTCCTGGTTTCAATCTACAGGGCTACCCAAAAAAAGATATTTCTGATAAAACCCACTGATAATGTGATTTTTTGCAACATGAGACAATTATAAAATTATTTCATCAAATCAATATTTCATTCTAATTATAATCACTCATACTAATTTATCTCATAAAATATTGCTTTCTATTTCCTATTTTTAAAACTAAAAGTAAAATTGATGCTGTATTCTATCTCGTTTTAGCAGTAGACCACACTGATCTGTTCTGTTATCTTCCTGTTGCTGCTATAGCAATAGGACTGAAGGACTTAAAACAAGGTAGGTTTATCATGTTACAATTCTGGAGTCCAACAGTCTGAAATGGGTCTCACTGGGGCAAAATCTAGGTGTCTGCAGAGCTATGCTCCTTCTAGAAGCTTGAGGGGAGAATCTGTTTCCGTGCCTTTTCCAGCTTCTAGGGACTACCCATGTTCCTTGGTCCTGGCCCAGTTGTTTCATCATCAAAGCCAGTGGCATCAGGCCTAGTCCCTCCTGTACGGTCATCTTCCTGGTTCTCGCTTTTCCATTTGCCAGGACTCTTGTGATTTTATCAGACTCACCTGGTGTTATGGTTTATAGCTAGATGTCCCCCCAAACCCTCATGCACTCATAGGTGGGACTTTTGGGAGATGACTGGGTCACGAGGGCATGGTACTAATCAGTAAACTAAATGTCTTGTGTTGCTGGGTTTGGTTGGAGGATCTGGTTCAGTGGCCGTGGCCTGGATGGGTTTATCTCCCTCCCCAATTCCTCCCTTCACGTGCTTTCTGTTCCCCAACACCTCACCATGCACTGCTTCTCCTCTGTTACACCACCTTGCCTTGGAGCCACCTTACTGCACACAAACTGTAAGCCAAAATAACCCTCTCCTCCTTTAAACTGTGGGTGTCCCATACTGTGTCTCAGGACAAGAAAGTAACTGAGATGTCTGGATAATCCACACTAATCTCTCCATTTCAAGATCAATTAACAACTTTAATTCTTCTTAAAACCTTAATTCCTTTTTGCCATGTAACCTAACAAATTTGCAGTCTCCAGGCAGTAGAACAAGGCATCACAACTATTAAGGTATCACAACTATTAAGAAATAATTCCAATAAAATGTAGTTGTCAGTTTAATAATTATTTATGAAAATGTATAATATAGTTACTTAGATCAATTATATTCTAAGTTAAATTATAACTAAATACAGAATGAACTTCTTATCAGTAACAGCCTGGTATTCAAAGGAAGAAAAAGCAAGATATTCATTAACAGTCATAACTTTATTACAAACAAATACAATAGAGTGAACAATAAAAACTTTCAAACAAAAAATTGTGTTTATAGAGTAAAATTCTATGGGAGAAGTGGAATGGAAATTCAAGTCAAGGATAAAGCAAAATTGAAATTTTACCAATGTTTAGGAAAGATTCATTTGTGTATACACCTGTAAAGGATGATAGTATTTGTCAAATCACTATGATATTTAGGTTCCACAAGATAAATTCAAGTGTAAAGTTGACAGAAGTACTTTAAAATGCTGAGGCAGTGGAATCTCACCTATGTTGAGCAGAAGCCAGGGGAGTGACCCATACACATGCCCAAGACAGTGCTCCATCTTGCTAATACTATAGTTCTCAAGAATAACTGTCCTGTATTCTGAAAATCCTGAGATGAGCCGGCCAGAACAGCCTGCTCTACTCCAGTGCCACCACTCCTAGAAACAGAATGTCCTCCAACGCTTCAGCCCAGCAGGTTGCATTGTCCCGAGGGATAAGACCAGAATGGCCAAATTTCAGGGACCCTCAGTTGTGGTACTTCATGCATCCCAGGTGGCTGTCCTGCGCCTTGGGGACATCTCACACCGAATTTGAAGTTTCTGCTGTCCCTTGTTGCCCATCTGTAAGTAACAGAAAAGCTTCATGTAATTTGTTGTGTGTTCTAAAACAAGAAAATCAATTAATGATAGTGGAGACCAGTTGGCAGTTATCCTTGGATGTACAGAAGGTGACTGGAAAGGGAGACAGGAGGCTTTGGGGAGCCTGGTCATGCTGTTTCTCAATCTAGGTGCTGCTATGCTGATGTATTTATCACTTTATAGAAATTCACAGGCTGTATGCATATGCTTTATTTACCTGTCTATAAGTGGGTTGCAATTTAATAGCGCCATTATTAAAATGTCATGGTCGCCTTTACATATTACAGATAACTTACTGTTATTTATCCTTCAAATATTTTTCTCCTGTCATTTGAACTTTTTGCTTTATAGAAAACTGGGCAAAATTTACAATCGGGCACCTTGCAAAGGGCATCATCCGGACAGTCAACAAACGTGAAACACATGATTTTTCACTGTTAACCAGGGAAATGCAAATAAGCGCAAAATATAAATCTTTTGTTCACTGAAGTGGGAATTTTTCTGAAGATCTACAAAATATACTGTGGACAGTGGTGTGGGGAAAGGGGCACTCCCGTGCATCAGGTGGAGTAACTGGTGCAGAACTGTAGAAAGGCAGTTTGGCAAGATCCAATCAAACTCTAATTCAGGAGCCAGAATCCTAAGGACATTCTTAAGCCAGTGGATTCATGTAGCCAACCATGTGTATCCAGAAAGGGAATTAAATCCTCATTTGTTTCTTTAAATGCAATATAGAGCACCCCCATCCAAATTCATTCAATTTGAACTTAGAAATAAAATGGATTCAGAGTTCAGATAAATCCCTCCCTGACTAAACTCTCTCTAGTGCACACCCAAAACTGGAAAACTTAAGCATTTTATATTTACTACTGACAGAAATCACAAATCACATTCTTTGGGACCATTTAATCTTACACTGTTTTTAAATACTGACTTTTAAAATGTGAAATGATATAGGGGGTAAATTTGTAGAAAAAGAGTATCTTACATAAAAACTTTTGAAGATAACAGTCTTGATACCTCTTTTGAAATATATTCTTCAGTCAGGCCAAAAATCATAAGACATGCAGGAGTACAAGGATTTTATTTTATTTACACAATTAACAAGACTAAACAATTATAATTTTGTGTATATCCACAAAGAGGAAGTTATGCATTTTCTAAATACTCACTTCATATTTTGAAAAATTAGCTAATGGGCCACAAAAGCTCAATATGTTTTCTAAAAAAAAATGGCATACTCTTTCCATTCACTGTCCACATAGCACTTTAAGCCCTCAAATATTTTTGTCTGGAAAATTAAAAATGCAAACCTGAAACAGCTCTTGAATTAAACAGCATATCAAAGAAGGGAAAGAAATAACATAACATTTCTTAAAGTTCTCACATGAGTTGAAGGTTCCCCCTTGGCCTCCCAGAGGTGACCCCCCACTGCTGTGGCTGCCGGGTCTCCACCCCTGAGGCTGCCTTTCCTGTTCCCAGGCCTCTCCCACGTCCCCAGCAAGCAGGTCTAACAGGCAAAGGTGGCCAAGGGGAGGCCACAGCAAATCCCAAGGCCCTCTATGTCCTCCCTTAAACCTTCTTAAAAGATTTTGTTGGTGGAAGTTCTTGTCTTTTTGCAACAAGTTGTTGCCCTTTTCTCGTTCCCCCTAAGAAGTTGTAACCCATCCTGTTTTTTGGCTGTTTTGTTTTGAACGTTGTCTTTTCTTTGCCCTCAGGAAGCTCAGAGTTCATTTTGTTGCTGGTTTTCCCATTTTCCTCAGTCTAAATTTCCTGATTACAAAATCTCTTTTTTGTTGTTTTCTTCTGTTACAAGCCTGTTTGGTTTTTGTTTAAATGGTGCAGTTGTAAATAACTTCTTCAAGCCCTTTTGGAAGTAGATTGGATATAAATACAAATAGACCTATACATGCATACATATGAAGTATGATTGAAAAATACAGTGAGTGTTTACATCTTTAAAAATTGTTACAGTAAAAGGCACATCATCATTAATCACCATTGAAATTCCTCCCCTCGCTTTGAACATGCTTGTCCCACTTGTCTTAGTTACTTTCTCATTGCTGGGACAAAATACCCAACACCCACAAGTTAAAGGAAGAAAGGTTTACTTAAGCTCAGTCTGTAGAGCTTTCAGCCCATAGTCAGCTGGCTCCAAGGCAAGGTGGCACGGAAAGGGGCACAGAGGAGGCTTGCTCATGGCAAGACAGACAGGATCAAGGGAAGAGGGAGGGATACAGGCCCTTCCAGGCTGTCTTAGTTACTTTTCCCTCATTGCTAAGACAAAATACCCAGCACCCAAAACTAAGAAAGGGAAAGTTTATTTAGCTCACAGTTTGAAGAGGTTTTAGTCCATCAGCTGGCTCCAAGGCAGGGTGGTATGATAGAGGGGCAACAGTTTATGGCAGCAGAAGACAGCAAAAACAGCAAGAGCAAAAAAGGGGAGAGAACAAGTCTTTTTTTCCCTTAGATTGTATACAGGCTACCCGTCCCTGGGTGGGTGTAGCCCTCACACCATCTCTGTGCTCTCCTCTTCTACTGATTCAGGATGTTTATAGAGTGAGGATCCTGGCCCCCTGCTGAGTCACTTAGTTAACCTTCTAAACTTCTCAAGTTGACACAATGAACATCTTAGAGCAGTAAGGGCAAGTCCTCTACACCCCAGGATGTAGAACTGCTGACTTACTCATTAACCTTCTAAACTTAAATTGACACAATGTATCAACCTTACACAAGCCACGCCTTCTGTGATCCAACTCCTCAGTGACCTACCTGCTCCTTCTAGGCCTCACCTCCCAACATCACATTTAGTAATAATCAGTGGGCTAATCCACTGCTGAGTATCACACTCAGTGATCCAACCACCTCCCCAAAGCCCCACCCATGAATAGATGAGGCCTTGAGGGGGCATCTAGATGTAAACTATAACACCATCATTCTTGTCACTTTCTGAAGCAGCTGTGAAAGTCCTCTTCTGCGGAGAAGGATATTCTTTGATTAGAAAGCACTAAGGACACACAATGATTTGTTTAGTGTTGCACAAATGAACAGAAACCTTTCAGCTGAAGATAAGAGTGCATTTGAATTCCAGGAGATCCCTATTTTTTAGTCTTGCCATGCATTGTAAAAATTAATGGGAAGTAAGGACTGTGATTGTAGTGGATTGATAACTGATGGTCAACTTATATCCCCCAGCTGAACTGAGTGAGCATGGTGCTGGGTGTGGGAGACCCACCAGGGGATTGTTGCCAGCAGCATAACAGGCAGAATTGAAGAATGATAATGATAAACTAATGAGAATGAGAATGATAAACTAAAATGTTTGCTATCTGCCCATTTGTACTAGCTATGCCCTTCGTTCTTGCTCAATAAAAGGTGACAGATTGGTAATCAGGGCTGCAATTAGAGAGGCTGTAAGCCTCCTGATCCCGGAATTTTACCCCTCTTATTTTTCTTGTCTCCCTTTCTTTCCTTTTCATCCGTGGCACCTCATTCTCAGGACCTGTCACCCCGGATAGAATGACGCTCTTTCTTGTCTTTAGTTGTGCTATTGTGGCTGCCTCAATGTCTTGAATCAATTCAAAATATTTATCTTCCGTGAGTATTTTGACTTTGGGGAAGAGCCATGTTATGGCTTGTGTCTAGATGTCTCCCCAAACCTTCATGCAGTCATAGGTGGAGCTTTTTCAGAGGTGGCTGAATCTAGAGTGTGTGATTGATTCATGGTGCAACGCTAGGATTAAGGATGCTAGGACTAAGGGCATGTGATTACTAAATCAGTCCACTGATTGGTTTGCTACCATCCTAATCCTGGTAGCCTGGATACAATATAAAGGACAGAAAGAAGTTCGCCTTGTCCCTTGCTTGTTTTGCTGTCTTCTGACTACCATGAACTGTTTCTCCTCTGTAGTGCTTGTCTTCCATGGCACCCTGCCTTGGAGCCAGCCAACTATGGACTGAAACCTCTACAAATTGTGACCCAGGGGCTGGGGATTTAGCTCAGCGGCAAAAGCGCCTGCCTGGCAAGTGCAAGGTCGTGAGTTCGGTTCCTGGTACCGGAGAAAAACCAAAAAAAAACAAATTGTGACCCAAATAAACTTTTCCTCTCTTAACTTTGGGCATCTGGTGTTTTGTCTCAGCAACAAGAAAAGTGACTAAACAAGCCAGGAGTCACATAGTGCCAGATCCCATGGGTAAGGTGGCTGACACACCATCATGTTTTTACCAGTCTGCCTTCCCATATATCTTGACACCATAGAATTATATCAGGAAAGTGGCCGACCACTACATAAAATTTCAAGTATCACAGGATACTGTCCTTCCACTACCTACTGAATCATCCATAGACAACCCAGAACAACCCAACAACACCAAGAACACTCTGAATAAAACATCTGTGTCCTAAGGTGGCTCAAGCTTGCTGAGGGAGGGATGTTCCTTTGGATCACAGAGAGTTCATGGAAAACCTTCCAAAGACAGCCCCTGTGGGCACCCCACTGCACTTTCCTGTGTGAATGAAAAGATTAGCTCTAGGTGGAGGGCAGACGTAACTGAGGAAAAGATGTGAGAGCTGCTTGAGGAACTCAGTCATTGATTCAACCTTTGAGAAAGAAGCCAGGATCCTGGCTGTGCTTTAGGCTCTGAGACAGTGCAGGCCAGCTGTACTGATAGCTGGGTTTAGTGCAAAGATTTTTACTACCTTGCACCAGCCAGCCAGCCTTAGCATGCTTTCATCAGCTTCCCATCAAGCAACCGCTACAAAAACACACCACACCTTTGAATCTTAAGGATTTCAAAGTGATATAGCAAGAAAGAAGAGAAAGCTGGTTTGAGGCTTTATCTTCTCCTTTCTTTCAAACTTACAACTTCCAGTAAAAGCAATATAAACCCTAATACTATATTCTGCCTTTGGAAAAATTATTTTTTCTGACAATTCTCCCACATCACTTTTCCATGGAATATAGAGGGGACAGCCATCATTT